GAGAGATTTTGGGAAAGGAGGGGGGAACTTTATTAGATTTTTGGGAGTGGCTTTTGTCAGCGGATGGGTCTATGAAAGATGAGGTAAATTTTTTTGGGAATTGAGGGGGAAAAAAAAAAAGAGGAGTGGGGGCATTAGGAGTTGTGGAGACAAAAAAATTTGCCCTTGGGAGGCAAAGGGGGGGGAAGGGTATAAAGAGTATATTTTTCCCAAAGCTTTTTATGGGTGTAAAGGGCGGGGGTTGAGAATGTTGCAGGGGAGAAGGTGGGGGGCGGGTGGGGGATGTCAGTCTGGGGGCAATGTGGGGTTTGTAAATATAATGCGGGAAAATTTTGGGGTTTTGGAAGTTAGGGGGAGGTGCGGGTTAAAAAAAACTGTTGTCCAGAGGGTGAGGAAGGGTTGTTGAGGTGGGTTCGGAAAAGTGGGAGAGAATGGAGCGAAACAGAAGACTTAAAGAGTGTATAGTCTGTTGGGAAGGAAGGGGGGGGTGGGGGTTTGGGCCTTGGAAAGGGGTTGGAGGGAGGGGAAAAAGGGGGTTTTTTGTGTGCGGGGGGGTTTGGGGACTTCCAGCAGGCATGGTGACGTTTTTGAAGGAGTAAATGGGGGCCCAAAAGGTTTTTTTAATACTTGCGGGCTTTTGGGGTGTGTGAGAAAAGAAACATTTATAAAAGGGTTTCGGGGAAAACCCGGGCAGGCCGGACTTGGAGTTGGGGATGGGAAGTACGTGCCGGCACTCTGGGGGAGGGGTTTTAAAATTTTTGCGTTTAAAAATGTATTTAAAAAGCCCCCCTTCGGGCAAGACAGTGAGGGGTAAAATGAGGGTTTGAAAGTTTTTCTTTTTCGGGCCCCCCTTCCCCTTGGGGGGAAAAATCGGCCGGTGTGAAAATAAAAAAAAAAATATATATTTTTAAAAAGGTAAAAACTTGTTTTTTAACACCCCCTACCCACTTGAAACCTCCTTGCTCATCCGCAATCCCCCTTTCTGTTTACCTCGAATTTTTTTAAATTTTTGGGACCCTATTGTACACTTTTCCTGGTATACTCAGTAAACTTATTCCTCTATAATTTTTACAATGTCTTTTGTCCCCCTTCCCTTTATATAAAGGGACTATACATGCTCTCCGCCAATCCCTAGGTACCTTCCCCTCTTTCATACATTTATTAAACAAAAGTACCAACCATTCAAACACTATATCCCCCCTGCTTTTAACATTTCTGTCATGATCCCATCAGTTCCAGCTGCTTTACCCCCTTTCATTTTACGTAATGCCTCACGTACCTCCCCCACTTACATTCTGCTCTTCTTCACTCCTAAAAGATGGTATACCTCCCTGGCTAGTGCATGAAATTACCGCCTCCCTTTCTTCATCGATATTTAAAAGTTCCTCAAAATATTCTCGCCATCTACCTAATACCTCCATCTCCTCAACTACTAACTCCCCTACTCTGTTTTTAACTGACAAATCCATACGATATCTAGGCTTTCTTAACTTGTTTAACTCCAAAATTTTTTCTTATTTTCATTAAAAATTTCTTGACAGTGCCTCTCCCACTTGATCATCTGCTCTCCTTTTGCACTCTCACCACTCTCTTCACCTTTCTTTTACTCTCCATATACTCTGCTCTTCTTATAACACTTCTTTGTAAAAACCTCTCATAAGCTAACTTTTTCTCTTTTATCACACTCTTTACTTCATCATTCCACCAATCACTCCTCTTTCCTCCTGCCCCCACCCTCCTATAACCACAAACTTCTGCCCCACATTCTAATACTGCATTTTTAAAACTCATCCAACCCTCTGCAACCCCCCCACTACTCATCTTTGCACTATCCCACCTTTCTGCCAATAGTCGCTTATATCTCACCGGAACTTCCTCCTCCCTTAGTTTATACACTTTCACTTCCCTCCTACTTGTTGTTGCCACCTTCCTCTTGTCCCATCTACCTCTTACTCTAACTGTAGCTACAACTACATAATGATCCGATATATCAGTTTCCCCTCTATAAACATGTACATCCTGGAGCCTACCCATCAACCTTTTATCCACCAATACATAGTCTAACAAAACTACTTTCATTACATGCTACATCATACCTTGTATATTTATTTATCCTCTTTTTCATAAAATATGTATTACCTATTACCAAATCTCTTTCTACACATAGCTCAATTAAAGGCTCCCCATTTACATTTACCCCTGGCACCCCAAATTTACCTACTACTCCCTCCACAACATTTTTATCCACTTTAACACTGAAATCCCCAACCAGAAGTACTCTCACACTTGGTTCAAAACTCCCCATGCATTCACTCAACATTTCCCAAAATCTCTCTCTCTCCTCTACACTTCTCTCTTCTCCAGGTGCATATACACTTACTATAACCCACTTTTCACACCCAACCTTTATTTTATTCCACATAATCCTTGAATTAATACATTTATAGTCCCTCTTTTCCTGCCATATATTATCCTTCAACATTATTGCTACTCCTTCTTTAGCTCTAACTCTATTTGAAACCCCTGACCTAATCCTATTTATTCCTCTCCACTGAAACCCTCCAACCTCCTTCAGCTTTGTTTCACTTAAAGCCAGGACATCCAGCTTCTTCTCATTCATAACATCCACAATCATCTTTTTCTTATCATTTGCACAACATCCACGCATATTCAGACTTCCTACTTTGACAATTTTCTTCTTCTTATTCTTTTTAGTAATCTTTACAGGAAAAGGGGTTACTAGCCCATTGTTTCCGGCATTTTAATTGACTTTTACAACACGCATGGCTTACAGAGGAAAGTTTCTTATTCCACTTCCCCATGGATATAAAAGGAAAAGTAATATGACCAAGAACTATTAAGATAAAATCAAAGAAAACTCAGATGAGTGTGTATAAATAAATGTGTGCATGTATGTGTAGTGTGACCTAAGTGTAAGTAGAAGTAGCAAGACGTACCTGTAATCTTGCATATTTATGAAACAGACAAAAGACGCCAGCAATCCTACCATCATGTAAAACAATTACAGGCTTTCGCTTTACACTCGCTATTACGTTATAATAAAGTATTTTTGTCCTGCCTCCTGAGGGCAGAAATTCTGCTGGAATGGATTAATGGCATTTCAATTAATTTAAATGAGGAAAATTGACTCAGCATACGCAGATCGGGTTATGAGCTAGGTCACGGAATGGATTAAACTCGTTAGCCGAGATTCCACTGTATGTACATCTTTTGTAAACAATGTACTGATGACTACTAATGCAGGTACTGCGTTGGGTACAATGGGTGGCCATACGTACACTGTACATGTTAAAAGTCTCATGGGCCACAACAGTTACTTGAAAATGCAAAATACTTGGTAGACCCCCAAAAAGAGTGCAAAAAAATGATAAAAATAATATGGAGCACACAGCAGTCATCAATGTTGTCATTAGTGGGTCAAAGACCTGCAACTTCATACCTTGGTAAGTACTGATGGAAAAAATCTTTTCTTATTACCACCAGAAAAATGAGTTTTTTTTTTTTTTTTTTAAAGATACTGACACTGTCAGTAATTTTAATTTTGAGAGTTGTGACAGTGAAGGGGTTAATGTCTTATATTCACAAAATTGTGAACATGGGTTTATCACTACAGGAAAACTCTAAGAGAAGCACTCTTCAAAAGTAAAGGTAAACTTACTCATTACCATAATCACTTGATTACGGAAGGTATATGAAATATATTATTCTAAAAATTTCAGGTTGGGGTTTGAGCCCACTAACACTACCCACTCCCCCACATTTAAATATGGTCATGTAATCAAATGTGGTTTGGATAAATTGGTGGGCAAGTCATATAAAATACAACTTGATAAGTAACCTAGTACAGTATAATCCTTCCTCTCACTCAATTTTCCAGTGTGTTTTGTTATACAACTGCACCTCATTTATCCAGTATCAGTATATCTGAAAACTAATTGAAAAAAATCCTGCCTCCTACTCCTACCCTGCTACAACCACAAAACCTTCCATCATCCTAATATTTGCCCTTGTGTTCTCTGTATTACTATATTAAAAAATAAGTACTAAATCTACATGGGTCATACAATGTAATGTCTATAGCTACTACAAGTGACCAGTGCCACAGTAGTACATGTGGCCCTGGTTTAGCTAGATGAATGTTTTAAAAGTAACAAGCAATGAGTAAACATACTTGTGCTATTTTTTTCATAAATTTCTGTATAATTACAAGTACTGTCTGAGCTGAAGTGCAGTTCTACACCTTTGCCAGGTATCGAAAGTACAGTGGACCCCCGCATAACGATTACCTCCGAATGCGACCAATTATGTAAGTGTATTTATGTAAGTGCGTTTGTACGTGTATGTTTGGGGGTCTGAAATGGACTAATCTACTTCACAATATTCCTTATGGGAACAAATTCGGTCAGTACTGGCACCTGAACATACTTCTGGAGTGAAAAAATATCGTTAACCGGGGGTCCACTGTACTGTACTGCAAGCTTAGAAAAATCATATGGTTTGGTAAAGAGGGAGAAATATACTACTGTACCAATTTAGCACACAGAATTATGGCAAAAAATTAAACAGGGCTAAGCATTACTGAATTAAAAAATACTTATTCATTACTGGGTGGGATGAATTACGCTTTGCAACTACTGCCTATGCATTTCAATAAGCAGAAAATTAGTTAACCAAAAAAATCTTGGTCCCAACCACTTTGGATAAATGAGGTGACTATATAATCAAGATATCCCTGCCTCTAACTAAGTATTCATGTTCATAATTGCTTTTAATCCACTGTCGTCAAACAGTACAAAATTTTTTTTAAAAATTCTTGTAATTTTCAGTTCCATTTACTATTCAACAAATTAATAAATTTTAAATGAATTATAAAAAAATAAAAGTTTTGTGTTACTCCATTACTCATTACACCTGGAAGAGTAACTTGTGAATATAACAAAGGTATATAATACTAACAAGGAGATAAGCAAGACATGTGCAAGTTAGGTATCTTTATTCTGAAATGTTCTGCCTGCACAGTAAGCTTATTCAGTCAAAGACAAAGGAAGCAGTGGAGGTGCAGACAAGGTAATCAGTTCATCACCTAATTGTTGCACATGTTTCTTACTTATCTGAGTAATTTGTATTTCTACCTACAATTAACTCACAAATTATGAATTTTGAATTGAATCTTAACATAAAAATTTATTACCCTATTATTCATTACAATTTCCTGAAGTCTTCATGGCTACCAACCCAGTATCTACCCTGAACATTATCTGTTGAGATTCTCTGCATGTTCTACTTCAAGTCATTTTTTTTTTTTTAACAAGTCAGCCGTCTCCCACCGAGGCAGGGTGACCCAAAAAGAAAGAAAATCCCCAAAAAGAAAATACTTTCATCATCATTCAACACTTTCATCTCACTCACACATAATCACTGTTTTTGCAGAGGTGCTCAGAACACAACAGTTTAGAAGCATATACGTATAAAGATACACAACATATCCCTCCAAACCCCTCCTTTAGAGTACAGGCATTGTACTTCCCATTTCCAGGACTCAAGTCCGGCTATATAAAAATTACCAGTTTCCCTGAATCCCTTCACTAAATATTACCCTGCTCACACTCCAACAGATCGTCAGGTCCCAAATACCATTCGTCTCCATTCACTCCTATCGAACATGCTCATGCACGCCTGCTGGAAGTCCAAGCCCCTCACCCACAAAACTTCCCTTACCCCTTCCTTCCAACCTTTTCGAGGACGACCCCTACCCCACCTTCCTTCCCCTACAGATTTATATGCTCTCCATGTCCTTCTCTTTTAACCATTCTCTCTAAATGACCGAACTACCTCAACAACCCCTCTTCAGCCCTCCGACTAATACTTTTATTAACGCCACACCTTCTCCTAATTTCCCCACTCCGAATTTTCTGCATAACATTTACACCATACATTGCCCTTAGACAGGACATCTCCACTGCCTCCAACCGCCTCCTCGCTGCTGCATTCACAACCCAAGCTTCACACCCATATAAGAGTGTTGGTACTACTATACTTTCATAAATTCCCTTCTTTGCCTCCATAGATAACTTTTTTTGTCTTCAAGTCATATCATACTGAAATTTTTTTAAATGATATTATTGTTTGTACAATAGTGTTAGTATATGTCATCTTCATAAATAACAAAACTAAAGCCATCTCAAGATGGAGAAGAATGCTGGTTTACATTCTTAAAATTAATATTAAGAATGATGTCTACTGATTAAAGCACCTCTATCATCTGATGACAATCACACACATTCTTTAAACAATTTTGAATCCCATGGAAACTTGATATGACCATAGTTTTACCTACTAAAAATAGCTAAATGCAAAATTCCACCTTGAATAGTACATAAATGCAGCCCAAGTAATATTTCATCAAGAAAATATGTTTGAGCAAATGTGTTAAATTCGAGTTTAAGTATAATGAGAAAAAGTATGATAGCCTTGCTGATAATCCTCAGTAGTTAAGCAGCTTGTCACAATTTCTACTTTCAAGTGACTATTTAGCCCAAAAACTTGTTTTCTATAAAAATGCACATATAAAATTAGAAGTCATTTGGGAAAACACACCAAATGGAAATATTCACAGATCTATGCCACAGAGGAAAAGATATACATTTATGTATAAAATATGATCTCTGGGATCTGTCCATCTTCAACAGAGGTGCCATTGTTGTTTCCAGCAGCATATGTAAACTGGAAAGTTGCTCGATCTCCCGAGGGACATTCCACCGCTACTTTACGCACACCTTTGGTTCCATAGTGTGAATCCGGGCCCTGAATATAGAAAACTAAATGATTAAGATCACATTAAACAGAAAACACTTGATAATAGCATTATAGATAGTCTTGTTCCCTGTGAAAAACTAAGTGTTAAGTGACTGTATATCATGAAAAGATTACCAGAAAAAGATTCTTTACCATAATAATTAGAAAAAAAATACTGACACTGAGCATTTCTAATTTCAAAGCTTCTATCAGTGAAGGGGTTCATATCAAGGACCACAATACAAAAGAAGTTAATTTTACATGTACTCTAGCAGTTTACAAATCATTTCCTAAGCACCTCGCATAAGCCTCACTGCAAATCAAGTTACTCAATAACTCTCATCAAGCATATATAAATAAAGGGAAGGGGATAATTTAGTAACTACCCATAGTGAATAGTGCAAGTAAAAGAAGCCAGAGATATTTATTTTTTATTTGGTTTTGAAATATTATTAATGATGCAATGATAAAGATGATACCCCATACATTTAGTCCAAGTAGGTGCAAATTTGAAATTCTACTGCACGGCAAAGCCTTGATTAGTACAAATTTGAACAGTGCAAAATTTGATTTAGTACAAATTATAAAATTATACTGGACCTTATTTAATGAGTCAAAATTCAGTTAGTACGATTTTGCTGCCCACCCTATTTGCTCCTGCTCCTAGGCCGCTCACCCAGTCATCAGTATGGCTTTGCTTGTGAACAGTGAAGACGTGCCACAACTTATCCAATATGCATTCACAGTATTTTTTTTTTTTTAACAAGTCAGCCGTCTCCCACCAAGGCAGGGTAACCCAAAATATGGACAAACAAAAGAATACTTTTTTTTTTAACATGCTGGCTGTCTCTCACTGAAGCAGGGTGACCCGAGAGAGAGACTTTTTTTTATTAACCTTTGGTAATGTATTAACAATTTTCATTGCACACTGTATTTTCAATAGAGTGGGACCAATTACCATACTTTGTGTGCTATAACAGCTTCAAATATACAAGGGTCCTGCTTTACAGTGCTTCACTTTACAGTGTTTTGCTACTGCAGCGGTTTTCAATTATACTCATTCTTCATTTATTCAGACTTCCTACAATAAATGCACATATATATTCAACACTCACTATAAGCTAAGGATGAAAATATTTTAAGGTAAGAAATGTTTGTACTGTACAGTGGTCCCTCAATAATCGTCCGGCCTGAAAGTCGTCCATTTCGGAAATCAGTCGAGTTATTTCGTCTAAACATTGGTTCGCAAATGGTCCGTTAACTCGCTAATCATCCTTCGTCCTGGACGCGTACTCACGGCTCTGAGCCGCCTCTGCCTCCCTTCCCAGCCAGTGTGCCATTGTTTACCAGTGAGCGACGGTCCCCTCACGTGTTCATACGAAATATTTCATAATACGTATTCCATTCATTTTAATGCTTGCAAGTGCTAAATAAGCTACCATGGTTCCAAAGAAAGCTCCTAGTGCCAAGCCTTTGGTAAAGAAGGTGAGAAATACGACTGAATTTAAGAACAACATCATTGAACAATATGAAAGTGGCGTACGTGTGGGCGAACTGGCCAGGATGTATAACACATCCCGTACAACCATATCTTCCATCATAGCCAAGAAAAAGGAAATCAAGGAAGCTGGTTTTGCAAAGGGGGTAAATATGCTGACAAAAATGAGATCACCAGTACTCGAAGATGTTGAGAAGTTATTATTGGTGTGGATAAACGAGAAACAATTAGCAGGAGATAGTCTTATGACGTCGCTTATTTGTGAAAAGGCTAGGCAGTTGCATGACGATTTGGTAAAGAAACTGCCTGCAACTAGTGGTGATGTGAGTGATTTTTAAGGCCAGCAAAGGCTGGTTTGAGAGATTTAAGAAGTGTACTGGCATACACAGTGTGATAAGGCATGGTGAGGCTGCCAGTTCGGACCAAAAAGCGGCTGAAAAATATGTGCAGGAATTCAAAGAGTACATAAAGGCTGAAGGCCTGAAACCTGAACAAGTGTTCAATTGTGATGAAAAGGCCTCTTTTGGAAGAAAATGCCAAAGAGGACCTACATTACTCAGGAAGGAAAGGCACTGCCAGGACACAAGCCTATGAAAGACAGGCTGACGCTCATGTTCTGTGCTAATGCTAGTGGGGATTTCAAAGTGAAGCCGTTACTAGTGTACCATTCTGAAAATCCCAGAGTGTTCAAGAAAAACTATGTTATAAAGAGTAAATTGCGTGTGTTTTGGAGATCTAATAATAAGGCATGGGCCACGAGGGAAATTTTCGTCGAGTGGTTCAATGAAGTGTTTGGCCCTAGTGTGAAGAATTACCTCCTGGAAAAGAAATTGGATCTCAAGTGCCTCCTAGTAATGGACAATGCACCTGCTCATCCTCCAAACTTGGATGACCTAATTCTGAAGGAGTTTCGGTTCATCGCAGTAAAGTTCTTGCCCCCGAATACCACTCCTCTCCTCCAGCCCATGGACCAGCAGGTCATTTCAAACTTTAAAAATCTCTACACCAAAGCAATGTTTGAAAGGTGTTTTAATGTGACCTCAGACACTCACTTGACCCTAAGAGATTTTTGGAAAGAACACTTCAGTATTCTCCATTGCATAAGCTTTATAGGTAAGGCTTGGGAGGGAGTGACTACCAGGACTTTGAACTCTGCTTGGAGAAAATTGTGGCCAGATTGTGTCCACATGAAGGATTTTGAAGGGTTTGAGGCAGCCCCTGATGAGCCTATGTCAGTTGTGAACTCTATTGTGGCACTGGGGAGTTCCATGGGGTTGGATGTGAGTTTAGAGGATGTGGAAGAGTTGGTGGAGGACCACAACGAAGAGCTAACCACTGAGGAGCTGCAAGAGCTTCAGCAGGAACAGCAACAGATCGCAGCTCAGAATCTTGCTGCAGAGGAGGAGGAAGAGAGATGGAAGAAGGTGCCTTCTCCAGAAATTAAGGAGATTTTTGAAATGTGGGGTAGGATGGAAAGATTTATGGAGAAACATCACCCTGGGAAGGATGTTGCAAGCCATATCGGCAACTTGTACAGTGACAGAGTCTTGGCCCATTTTAGGGAAGTTTTAAAGAGACGCCAGAAACAGAGCTCTCTGGACAGTTTTTTTGCGAGACAGGGCTCCAGTGACTCTCAGGCTGGTCCTAGTGGCCTTAAGAAACAGAGAAGAGAAGTAACCCCAGAAAAGCACTGGGTACCTGAGGTGTTGATGGAAGGGGATTCCCCTTCCAAACAGTAATTCAATCTCTCTCCTCCTCCAGTCTCCCATACGCTAAGAAGAATCTCCAATAAAGGTAAGTGTTATGCTGTTAATGTTTCATTCATCATGTCCCATTGTATTGTTTATGTACTACATCTATATTTCATGTAAAAAATTTTTTTGTTTTAATACTTCTGGGCGTCAGGAACGGATGAATTGTATTTACATTATTTTTTTATGGGGAAAATTGATTTGAAAATCGTCTATTTCGATAACAGTCCCACTTCCAGGAACAGATTAAGGACGATAATTGAGGGACCACTGTACATGCATTTTTTTTTAGGCCTAGCTCTTTTGCTCACTTAATATATGATAGTGTAAACATGTTATGAGGCTTTAATATGCATTTGAAACTGAAAAAAGATTATGTTTCACTTTACAGCAGTAGCCCAGAACCTAACTTCTTGTATAAGCAGGGCCCAACTGTACTATGAATTTGATTAATGCGATCGTTTAGCAGAATTCATTTTCATGCTAATTGAGGCTTTGCTGTAATAGAAAACTTGGAATCACTGGAATCAGATCAAGTACTCAAAATGTCTTTTCTGACTGGCTTCAAACTTTTACCATTGGCAGGCTTTATTAAAACACAACTTGTCACTTGCTTTGAGCTGTGTAATATTCAATTTGCCAATACATGGTTCTGTGGTATTTTTAAGTTTAATGAGGGGAGACTTTCCTATTATCCAGAACTTTCTCAACAAGATTTTTGTTTGATTTTCACAAATTTTTGTTTAGTCAATAATGCCTTATTCGATTGGCTTCAAATTTTCAATACCTGTGTAATGTTTCTCAGGCAAGATTCATGGGATTAAATGCATGCACAATGCTACATGGGCAATTCCCAAATTTTGCTTCTGTGTTAGGTGAAAAAAGTTCCTCTGAACAGTTTCAAAATTTCAATACTCATGTGTCCTACTTAGAAGCCAGATGATACATTTAACTGAATGTATAGGTGACATTTTTGCCACTTTTACTGTCAAAATGACATAGTATTTTACCTTGATGCTGGTGAGGGGCTCTTGATATAAGAAACCACACTTATTTTTACCTTGCTTGGATCAAATTTGAATGTTTCCCATTACACAAGTGCTATATGACCCTATGGGTTTAGGCTATTACCAGATTTTTCCCATGAGACAGGTGGAAATGAATGAGTTCCTCTGACCAGCTTCAAAATTTCAACACTTGTGAATCCTACTTAGCAGAAGGTTGGTATATTTAAAGGAGTTGTGTAGATGCTATTTTGTCACTTTTGATCTTGAAATAGTATAGTATTATTTTACCTTATTGCATTATTTTACCTTGATGCTGGTAAGCTCTTGATCCAATAAACTAGCTTATCATTCCCTTGCTTGAATCAAATTTAAGTGCTCCCATACCACAGGAGCTACATGACCTCCTATGGGTTTAGTGTTTTCCTATGAGTAAAATATGATGGGTCTGAGTTACAATAATTTTAAATTACTATTTACCCTCATAAGGGAATTTAGTTTTGAGTTGCAATGAAAAATTTGAGATACAACATGTGTACGATGGTCAGCAAGTACTGGTGGGCCTCAGCTAACCAGCGATGCAGTAGCTTGCTTGCTGGGCAGTGTCTAAGTCAGCAGGAGCACCAGTGGGGTTGGTGTGTGTTTGGTGGATAAGCAGCTAATTTGCAATGGGAATGAATGTCTATGACAGCATCTCAACAAACAGCAGTGTTTATACTACAGTTTACTGTTTACAGTTTGAAACTACCACATGTGTTACCCGCACCAACTCTGGATTATCTACCCTTCATATCTGCATTTGATTTAATTATGCCATCTTTTGTGTTACCAAGTCATCATGGTCTCTAAAGTGTGCAGTAAACAGGCAATTTCCCAGAAGATTAACCAAGAATTTGTGGTGCATTGTTGGTACACGAGTATGGCTTTCCACAATCAACCATCTCTACTATTATTAAACCAAAAGAAATTATAAAGAATACTACAGCAATAGTGAACAGCATCAATTTTCAATAGCTGACACATCACATGAAAAGGATGTAACATTTCGTAGATTTAGGCTGTGTAGGCACAAATTTTGTTGGATTCTGTACAATAACTGGAAAATGTATCTTCTGGTCAGCTTTAAACTTTCAGCGCTCTTTGTTTCCTTCAGAGAAAATTATTTCTTGATGTTAGGTTGTGCAAGTTGTTATTGGCCAATTTTATCAATTAAATTGGTGTCTGCAAAATAATGGAAAAATGTCTCTTCTGATCAGATGTAAGTCACAGTGTTTGACTTTGGTTATCCTAGATTAAATTAACTTAATGTTCTTTTATGTGCCTATAACATGTGTGCCCTCAAAACCATTGTTATAAATTTGTATGCTATTTACTCTAAGGTTACATAAAGCTTACTTGCATACTTCCTGGAGGCTACCTGGAGGGCATTCTGGGGATCAACGCCCCCACGGCCTGGTCTACAACCAGGCCTCCCGATGGATCAGGGCTTGATCAACAAGGCTGTTACTGCTGGCCACACACAATCCAATGTACAAACCACAGCCCAGTTGATCCGGCACTGTCTTTAGGTATCTGTCCAGCTCCCTCTTGAAGACAACTAGGGGTCTTCCCATAATGACCCTTATTGCTGGTGGGAGGCTGTTGAACAGTCTTGGGCCCCGGACACTTATTGCATTTTCCCTTAGTGTACCAGTGATGCCCCTACTTTTCACTGGGGGTATGTTGCATTGCCTGCCAAGTCTTTTGCTTTCGTATGGAGTGACTGCTGTGTGCATATTAGGGACCAGTCCCCCAAGAATCTTCCAGGTGTAGATTATGGCATACATCTCTCGCCTGCGCTCTAGTGAGTACATGTCAAGTGCTTCCAGGCGCTCCCAGTAGTTAAGGTGTTTGATGGAACTTATACGTGCAGTAAAGGTTCTCTGTACATTCTCTAGTTCTGCAATTTCACCTGCCTTGAATGGGAATGTTAATGTACAGCAGTATTCCAGCCTAGAAAGAATAAGTGATTTAAAAAGGATCATCATTGGCTTAGCATCTCTTGTCTTGAATGTTCTCATTATCCATCCTATCAGTTTCCTAGCAGATGTGATAGTGGCATTGTTGTGGCCCTTGAAGGTGAGGTCTTCGGACATTACCACACCCAGGTCCTTCACATTACTTTTCCGCTCTATGTGTGATTGGAGTTTATAGTATGCTCAGTCCTAGTTATTATTTCCTCCAGTTTTCCATAATGGAGTAGTTGGAATTTGTCTTCATTGAACATCATGTTGTTCTCTGTTGCCCATTGGAAAACTTGGTTTATATCTTCTTGGAGCTTTGCCGTGTCCTCAATGGATGACACTCTCATGCAGATCCTAGTATCATCTGCAAACGATGATACAGCGCTGTGGTTTACATCTCTGTCTATGTCTGATATGAGAATAAGGAACAGGATAGGTGTGAGTACTGTGCCTTGTGGGAGAGAGCTCTTCACTATGGCAGCATCTGATTTAACTCTGTTTACCACTACTCTTTGTGTGCGATTGGTTAGAAAGTTGAAGATCCGTCTGCCTACTTTGCCGGTTATCCCTTTAGCACGCATTTTGTGTGCTATTACACCATGGTCGCACTGGTCAAAGGCTTTTGCAAAGTCTGTGTATACTACATCCGCATTCTGTTTGTTTTCCAGTGCATCTAGGACCATATAGTGGTCAAGCAGTTGCGAAAGGCAGGAGCGACCTGCTCTGAAACCATGTTGCCCTGGGTTGTGCAATTTTTGGGAGACCAAGTGGTTTGCTATCCTGCTTCTCAGAACTCTTTCAAAGATTTTTATGATGTGGGATGTTAAAGCTATTGGTCTATAGTTCTTAGCTACTGCTTTTCTGCCACCTTTATGGAGTGGGGCTATATCTGTTGTTTTAAGTGACTGTGGAATCTCGCCTGTGTCTAAGCTTCTTCTCCATAGCATACTAAGGGCCCGTGAGAGGAGTTTCTTGCAGTTTTTAATGAACACCGAGTTCCACGAGTCTGGGCCTGGGGCTGAGTGCATGGGCATGTCGTTGATGGCTTTCTCAAAGTCTAGTGGAGTTAGGGTTATGTCATAAATATGGCCTACATTGGCAGGGTTTTGAGGCTCATTCATGAAAAAATTGTTTGGATTGTCTATCTTTAAACTGGTTAGTGGCTCGCTGAACACCGAGTCATACTGCGATTTCAGTATCTCGCTCATTTCTTTGTCGTCGTCTGTGTAGGATCCGTCTTGTCTGAGCAGGGGCCCTATACTAGAAGTGGTTTTTGACATGTTGTTGGCATATGAAAAGAAATATTTCAAATTTCTTTCAATTTCATTATGTATGAGTCCTTTAACTTTAGCTCAATAATTTCCACTTCCCTGGTTAGCACTTTCTTCCATGTATCAGACAGTTTGGCATTCTTGAGGAGCTCAATGATTCTTCATCTTCTCCTGTAGAGGGAGCGCCTCTCTCTCTCCAGTTTACTTCTTTTCTTTTGTCTTATAGGAATATACCTTGAACATACTTCAGCTACCAGTAGGGCGATCTTTTCAAGGCATTGGTTAGGGTTCATGTAATTTAAGATGTCCTCCCAGTATGTTTCATTTAGGGCATAGTTTACCTGATCCCAGATGATGTTCTTGCTGTTGAAGTTGAATTTGGTAAAGGTACCCTCATAACTGTATGCATCTTGCCGATCAGGACTCCTGTGCATGCAAGTCTGAACTTCGATTAGATTGTGATCAGAATTTGTTGTTTTTGATATTGTTATATTCCTTACCAGGCCCTCATTATTTGCAAAAATAAGGTCCAGTGTGTTCTCCAGTCTTGTTGGCTCCACTCTCTGCTGACTTAGGGTGTGTTTGTTGCAGAAACTCAGCAGCTCCTGTGTGTGTGACCTTTCATCTGAGCTACCTCCAGGGATTATTTCTGCTGCAACATTATTTGCTATATTCTTCCATTTTGTGTGTCTTAGATTGAAGTCACCAAGCAGCCAGATGTTTTCCTTAGAGAAAAGAATTGATTTTGGCCTGTATATGTCCCAGTGTCTGAATGCTGAATCTGATTAGCTTCAACCATTCCATGCAAACTTTATAATGTAACTGAGCAGCTTCCAGCCTAATGTTCTTGTGCATTTTAGGATATTGGTCTCTTCGAAAGGTTTGAATTAACTTTGGGCCATGTATGTCTTCATTTACTATTTTCATTGAAGAAATCTGAATATTAATTTCCATATGATGATTTGTGAATGCCTTTTCTGATGGCCTTCAAATCTTCAATGTTAATATTAAACTACATTATAAACTTATGCCGCACAGAACGCTATTCCAATCATGAGCACTGGGGCACAGGGAACTGAGGGTTATGGAATTCAGGGATACCATCTGGTTTATCTAATTGGTTGTTTAGTCAGGAAACCTTAATACAAAACAGCACAACATGTATATCTGACAGTAAATGTGAAGCCTCACCTTTAATGTTGCATAAGCAGTGTAGTTAGTATTGGGCAACACTTCAACAGGTTCCTTGAACATAACTCGAAATGTATTCACAGTGCCATCGGATGTGAAGCTTGTGTCGTTGCTTGCACATACCTAAAAATTAACACCACGCTGAGATTACACACACACACAAAAAGAAAGCATGCATTAAGTTTGGTAAAATGAATAAGAGATATTAATTTGTATTTCTCAGAAGCAGGTGCATGTTTCCTTAATATAGTATTTTAACTAAAGTAATGTCAATGTTAAAGGGTACAGCCTCTCATGATAAGAGTAGATTTAGAAATGTCAGCATTTACATAATGTTTATAAAATTCTAAAAAATGTATAACATTCCAAAGTGTCCTACTCTATTCTCTTGTTTGTATGAACTTTGAAAATGTTTTGATATGGGAGCTGACGTATCAGTGGATGGATTTAAGAAGGATGAGGTTAATCATAGAATTGATGAGGGAAAAAAGGCGAGTGGTGCACTGAGGTATATGTGGAGACAAAGAACGTTATCTATGGAGGCAAAGAAGGGAATGTATGAAAGTATAGTGGTACCAACACTCTTATATGGGTGTGAAGCTTGGGTTGTAAATGCTGCAGCGAGGAGGCGGTTGGAGGCAGTGGAGATGTCCTGTCTAAGGGCAATGTGTGGTGTAAATACCTCAACAACCCTTCGTTGTCCAGAGGGCTGAGGAAGGGTTGTTGAGGTGGTTCGGACATGTAGAGAGAATGGAGCGAAACAGAATGACTTCAAGAGTGTATCAGTCTGTAGAGGAAGGAAGGCCGGGATAGGAGTCGGCCTAGGAAGGGTTGGAGGCAGGGGGTAAGGGAGGTTTTGTGTGCGAGGGGCTTGGACTTCCAGCAGGCGTGCGTGAGCGTGTTTGATAGGAGTGAATGGAGACGAATGGTTTTTAATACTTGACGTGCTGTTGGAGTGTGAGCAAAGTAACATTTATGAAGGGGTTCAGGGAAACCGGCAGGCCGGACTTGAGTCCTGGAGATGGGAAGTACAGTGCCTGCACTCTGAAGGAGGGGTGTTAATGTTGCAGTTTAAAAACTGTAGTGTAAAGCACCCTTCTGGCAAGACAGTGATGGAGTGAATGATGGTGAAAGCTTTTCTTTCTCGGGCCACCCTGCCTTGGTGGGAATCGGCCAGTGTGATAATAAAAAAAAAAATAAATACTATGCAGAAAATTCAGAGTGTGGAAATTAGGAGAAGGTGTGGAGTTAATAAAAGTATTAGTCAGAGGGCTGAAGAGGGGTTGTTGAGGTGGTTTGGTCATTTAGAGAGAATGGATCAAAGTAGAATGACATGGAGAGCGTATAAATTTGTAGGGGAAGGAAGGCGGGGTAGGGGTCGTCCTCGAAAGGGTTGGAGGGAGGGGGTAAAGGAGGTTGTGTGAGGGTGAGGGGCTTGGATTTCCAGCAAGCGTGAATGAGCATGTTAGATAGGAGTGAATGGAGACAAATTGTATTTGGGACCTGACGAGCTGTTGGAGTGTGAGCAGGGTAATATTTAGTGAAGGGATTCAGGGAAACCGGTTATGTTATATAGCCGGACTAGAGTCCTGGAAATGGGAAGTACAATGCCTGCACTTTAAAGGAAGGGTTTTGGGATATTGGCAGTTTGGAGGGATATGTTGTGAATCTTTATACATATATAGTACTTCTAAACTGTTGTATTCTGAGCACCTCTGCAAAAACAGTGATTATGTGTGAGTGAGGTGAAAGTGCTGAATGATGATGAAAGTATTTTCTTTTTGGGGATTTTCTTTCTTTTTGGGTCACCCTGCCTCAGTGGGAGACAGCCGAGTTGTTAAAGAAAAATAAAAAATTAATAAAAAATACGCATTTCCCAGCCAGAGGAAGGCAAATTTCAGTGTCATTGCGACATTAAAATTAAATGTAATGAAATATGTACTGTACATTAAATTTGGCCTGATTTTCCTCCCTGTCTCCAATGCCCAGACACTAAGATCAATCTAAACTTTGGCATAACAAGAGAGAAAAAAATTAAAGGTACACTTTGGTTAAGAATTGTATTTCTTTGGATTGTTTACTGTCTGACAAGATTCATGGAACTTGCAGTTTACTGAAACTCAAATTTTATATATATTTTATAAGGCTTCAAGTACGTGTTGGTCTCAATAAGTCAGTGCAATGACTAACCAAACTGCTATTCAGCCAAGGGTGAGAGTAAGACTGTCCAATTGAATTCCCATATAATTGTTAACCAGACCCATGATGCCTAACCTGATAAACTGAGCAACATGGAACTCATCACCAGACAGAAGTTGCAGATGCAGTTTAATATAGACAGATGCAAAGTTCTAAACTCTGGACAAGAAAATAACCATGCCAACTATAAACTAAATAATGTAGATCTTAATATTACTGATTGCAAAAAGAATTTGGGAGTTCTGGTTATCAGTAATCTAAAACCAAGACAAACGGTGCGTAAGTGTTTGCAATAAAGCGAACAGAATCCTTGGCCTCATATCAAGGAGCATAAATAATAGGAGTCTTCAGGTTAGGCCTCATTTAGATTATGCTGCACAGTTCTAATCACCATATTACAGAATGGATATAAGTGCACTGGAAAACGTACAAAGGAGGATACCGAAGTTGATCCCATGTATCAGAAATCTTCCCTATGATGATAGACTGAGGGCCCTGACTCTGCACTCTCTAAAAAGATATAGAATTAGGGGTGATATGATTGAGGTGTATAAATGAAAAACAGGAATAAATAAAGGGAATATAAATAGTATGCTAAAAGTATCTAGCCAAGACAGGACTCACAGCAATGGTTTTAAGTTGGAAAAATTCTGATTCAGGAAGGATATAGGATAGCACTGGTTTGGTAATAGAGTTGTGGATGAGTGGAACACACTCCCGAGTACTGTCATAGAAGTTAAGACGTTACGTAGTTCTAAAAATAGGTTAGATAAATACATGAGTGGGTGTGGTTGGGTGTGAGTTGGACCTGACTAGCTAATAGGTTTGATGTCGTGCCCCTTCCATAAGTGGATGTGACCTGACGTGACTAGGTGGGTCATTGGTTTAAGGCAGGAGGCGACTTCGACCTGCCTCACATGGGCCAGTAGGCCTGCTGCAGTGTTCCTTCTTTCTTATGTTACGTTCTTTAATTTCATACTCTTGTTTAGCTTTTTATTATCCCTTTTAACTCTTTTAAAATTAATATATTGGTACACAAGGTGACCCTCAACTTTTGATGAGCCTACAAGTTCCTTTCTTCTTCCCTAAATGATATATAATCATGGTTTAATGGTCCAATTTTCATCAAAATATTCTTTTTTTTTGATTTGTTTAATTACACTCAATTTCCTTATTTAATATTAATCAATTTTCATCTACCAGGTAATCCACCTGTTTTTGGCTTTTTTAACTATATTTTTCTCCAAAACTTATTGGTTATTAATGACATAACCTCAGGAAAATTGGTGAATTAAAAATACATACATGTAAAAAAATACGAATTTCCATCACACAGGATATTTTTGTCACGTGTTTATCAAGAACCTAGGTAGTAGGTTGGTAGACAGCAACCACCCAGGGAGGTACTATCGTCCTGCCAAGTGAGTGTAAAACAAAATCCTGAAATTGTTTTACATGATGGCAGAATTGCTGGTGTCTTTTTTCTGTCTCATAAACATGCAAGATTTCAGGTACGTCTTGTTACTTCTACTTACACTTAGGTTACATTACACTTGCATGTACAAGCATATAGATATATCCATACCCTTCTGGGTTTTCTTCTATTTCCTTATTAGTTCCTGTACTTCTTTCCTCTTATCTCCATGGGAAAGTGGAACAGAATTTTTCCTCTGTAAGCCATGCATGTCATAAGAGTCGATTAAAATGCCGGGAGCATGGGGCTAGTAACCCCTTCTCCTGTATACATTACTGAAGTTAAAAAGAGAAACTTTTGTTTTTCTTTTTAGGCCACCCTGACTTCATGGGAAATGGCCGATTTGTTGAAAGAAGAACAAGTTTATCAAGAAAATAAAATACATGCAAAATGTGTAATTTAAAGGAAACCCATCACTGTATAATTACTTAGTAAATATGTAAGCAACACACCATTAGGGAAGCAAGCACAAGCACTGCTGAGTAGAATGTTATGTAATATACCTTTCCAGTGGCAGTATGGATGATCTGTATTGTTACTTCATATTCAGAAGGACCATGAATGGACCCATACATTCCAAAACCAACTACAAAGATGCGTCGATCTACAATAAACCTGGAAAACAAGCACGGAGTCATTTTAAATACTCTCTCTCTACTACAGGTCCGCCATCACAAATCTGGCGATCAGTTATTCGGTTCCTTCAGTTATTCAGCACTAATTTTGGCTAGCATAATTTCAAATTTCCAGGGTCGCCACACCAGCCTGTTGGTACTGTTTGGTGGCGCTACTTGCTGCATAAGTCATTCCAATTTCTTTTTCTACATTTATTGTTTTAACCTGCTTACTTTTAGCCCTAGCCATGGTTCCAATGAATAAAAGAAATGCTTCTCATTATGTAAAGCACCTACACAGTACATTATCCATTAAAGATAAGGTGGCTTTGAAGCCACTGTCGGTTGTCATGAACTCAGTCTCGTGAAGCAGGAGAATATGCTTTATTATTACGCTAATATCAACACTACAGCTTATTTGCCTACCACAATTGATCTAATATGACATAAGAAACAATATAAATAGCATAAAAACATGTTAAATACTCCAGAATGAATAATATTTGGCATAACACCGAGCAGTTCGACGGAGGTACGAAGAGGATATGGTATACAAATACCATTCTCCTATCCCTGTCTTGGGGGCTTATACTAGAGAAAATGGAGCATAGCACAGGACTAACTGTGATATACACTCGTACTACACCATAAACCTGAAACAAAAAAGTTATTTTCTCTATATAGATTATCACACATAGCAGCATATGTGTAGAGAACCTAAGATAACCCAAAAAAGTCAACGTGGCTTATTTTTAGTACTGGCTTGGGTTAGCCATATATGATTTTTGGTAAATATTCGATTCCCAGCCAGGGTAGAAACATTAGGCGTGTTTCTTTACACCAGTTGTCTATGTTTACCCATCAGTAAATGGGTATCTGGGTGTTAGCCGACTAGTGTGGGCGTTATCCTGGGACACTGACCTAATTTTCTTGAAATACTCTGCATAACAAGTGGCTTTCTATACAGTAATATGTCACTGATGTCAGCTAGGCCTGTATACCTTGTACATGTACATGTAGTAAATAAAGATATTTTTATTATTATTATATTATTTTCTCAGTTGTTTGTTGGGTTATCTTATTCAAACTTGGGCAATGTATAATGGAAAGATACTTCTTAACGTACACCAAAAATGAAAGAAATCAGACCATAAACAGCGGAGTTCACTTCTCAGCCATTAGTGGCCGCTTAGCAGTATATTTTTGTATGGTTGTTATGGTTATGTTCTCATTTTTTCGGTCTCATTTGATAGAATGAAAGATATATTACAGAAATAGATATGATTTTGATTGCTTTCATGATGAAAAGTACCTTGAAACTGCGCTCACAGAAGCGAAAATGTTCCATTCTTTAGCAAAGCTCAAGAGTAAACAAATGACTTCACCGTCCAATACCTGTCCGCCTGCCAGTCAAAATTCCAATATGTAGTCAAGAATGGGTTGACATTATTTATAAAATTATTACAATAATGCAGCAGTCTGCATAACAGTAAATCTTCTATATGAGGGGCCTGTAGCCATGACTAATGAACTTAGAAAGTGTTATTTTAGTGCCAGGAATGTCTGCATTGTTTATTCTGGACCCTATTTTGAAATTGGCATCTGTTGAAATTTGTGTGAAATTGGCCAAATTGCCAATTTCTGACCACTTTATTGGGTAGTTGAAATAAGTGAATGGGCAGTTTCTTGTACTCAGCTGACAGACTAGAAGTAAAAAAGTTTATTCAGGTATACACAAATACAGTTACATAGAATATCATACATAGCAGCATATGTATAGAGAACCTAGGATAACCCAGAAAAGTCAGACAAAGTGACTTATTTCCAGTACCTGGCTTGGGCTTGCCATATCTGATTTTTGGTAAATATTTTTTTTTCTCGGTTGTTTGTTGGGCTATCTCATTGAAACTTGGGCAATGTATGATAGAAAGATGCTTCTTAACGTACAACAAAAATAAAAAAGACGGACGATAAATAAGGGAGTTCACTTCTCAGCCATTAGCCGCCTCTTTGCAGTATATTTTCGTATGGTTTTTATGGTTGTATTCTCATTTTTGGACTCGTTTGATGCAATGGAAGATATATTACAGAAATAGACATGATTTTGATTGCTTTCGTGACGAAAAGTACCTTGAAATTGAGCTCAAAGTAGCGGAAATGTTCGATTTTTGCCGATGTTCAATGAACTGTGTAAGTCAAGTTGGTTAATTTTATTAAGTGTATTCTAACCTAACCACTCTGTAATCCGGCAAACTCATAATCCGGCACACTACAGGTCCCAATGATGCTGGATTTGTGATGGAGGACCTGTACTCTAATAAATACATCTGTTATTTTATGTATACGTATTTCATTATTTCAAATTTATGTGTAAATTTACACTTTCCCATATACGTACATCAATTATGTGGATTTTTTTTAGTGAATATGGTAAAATTAAGGTATACTGTACCGAATTCTATCACTAGTGCCTGAATACCCCCAGCGGGACTCTATCTGCTGAAATCGGCATACTGTCTGTTCCTTGCCTGTCATACAGCACCGAGGAACGTCCAAGAAATTAACGGGGGGTTTCGGATTTACCTAAAACATTGAGAGCCTAAGTATTTTATTTAACATGGAAGATAATTTATTCTATCAATGTTCTTTGTTGATCACAATCTAATTTTTTTGCAAATAATTTGCATAAATACAATTCTATACTCACAGTAAAATGAAGGAACAGCTGAACCACTTCACGATCTGTCAAGATCCCAGACTGCGCAGGACCTTGAGCAAACTCTTCCACAGTCATAAGGGGAAATCGTACCAAAGACAATGCTCTCCCTAACACTGCTCTCTGGCTGGTGCTTGTTACAACCAGACCCTCACGTTCACACTCAGCTTCAGACCACCTGAAAATTATATGAATTTAAATCATAGGAAATTCTAAATTGATATGTATTCAATATCTACCTAAGTTGATATGAGAGCTAAAGAGGCAAAATACAGTGGAACTCTGAATATCGGCTACTGCACTTTTCGGCCAAATCATATTTAGGCTAGTTTTTGGGCTGAAATTTTGCTCTGAATTTCGGCCGGTGCCTCGCAAACCAGCCGTATTATACGTATCAGCCTGCCTCCCACCGGGACGCCACTGCATAGGTGAGTCAGTCTCCCTGTGTCTCTCGGTGAATGAGCATATGCTCTGCGCATTCATCCAAATATTTCCTTAAAATCCATTGGTTTTTGTACTTGTTTATTAAGCGTGACTGTGAAATAAGCCACCATTAGCCCAAAGAAAATTCCTAGTAAAGTTCCTTTGGTAAAGAAAGTGAGAAACACAATGGAATTTAACCCTTTGAGGGTTTTCGTCGTACTAGTACGTCTTACGTGTAGGGGTTTTTGACGTACTAGTACTCATAAATTCTAGCGGCCTCAAATCTAGTGGGAGAAAGCTGGTAGGCCTTCATATGAAAGAATGGGTCTATGTGGTCAGTGTGCACAGTCTAAAAAAAATCCTGCAGCACACAGTGCATAATGAGAAAAAAAAAACTTTGACCATTTTTTTTTTAATAAATCAGCGACTTTGCAGTGTATTTTCGTATGGTATTTATTGTTGTATTCTAGTTTTCTTGGTCTCATTTTATATAATGGAAGACATATTACAGAAATTGAGATGATTTTGACTGGTTTTACAAAGAAAGGTGCCTTGAAATTGAGCTCAAAGTAGCAGAAATGTTCGATTTTTACCTAACTTCAAAAGTAAACAAATCATGCCAAGCGTGCAATACACGTCAACTGGTGAGTCTAATATTCTTTCACAAGTGCACCAATAATATTTATACCATTTTTTACACTAATGCAGTAGTCTGCATAACAGTAAATCTTAATTTTTTGTGAAAATAAAATTCAAAGTGGAAAGCAAAAGAATATAAGAGGGGCCTTGAGACATGACTAATGACAAGAGGAAATGTCATTTTAGTGCCAGGAATGTCTTTCTTGTTTATTCTGGACCCTATTCGGAAATTGGCATCTTTTGAAATTTGTGTGAAATTGGCAAAATTGCTAAATTCTGACCACTGTACTGGATAGTTGAATTTCATAAATGAGTGGTTTCTTGCACCCATTCGATGGAAAAAATGGAGTTCTAGCAAAATATTCATGTTTTTTGTCGACTAGTACAGTGAAATTGGCCGAAAATGGGGCTCAAAGTGGGCAAAATCGCCGATGCGTAAACATCGCCAAGACCGCTAACTTTGCGAGAGCATAATTCCGTAAGTTTTCTATCAAATTTCAAACTTTTGGTGTCTTTATGATCGGGAAAAGATTCTCTATCTTTTCATAAGAGAAAATAATTTTTTTTTTTTTTAAATTTGGCCGACCCTGAGAACGAGTTTTGGAGAGGGCCTGTCGACCCTCAAAGGGTTAAGAAAGAAGTTATTGAAAAATATGAGAGTGGTGTTCGAGTGCTAGAACTTGCCAGAATGTATGGGAAATCCAAATCAACAATCACTTCCATCCTGGCAAAGAAAGTAGCAATCAAGGAATCTAATGTTGCAAAAGGGAGTTTAGCAGGGAGTGTAGCGGGAAGGCAGGACCCCAATGGAAATAAGTCACTCTGTCTGACTTTTTTGGGTTATCCTAGGTTCTTTATACATATGCTGTGGAAGGGAGGCAGGAAGTGTAGCATGGAGGAAGGGAGCATACCAAAGAGGCAAGGAGTGTAGCAGGGAGGCTGGGAATGTAGCAGGGAAACAGGAAGTGTGGAAGGGAGGCAGAGAGTGTAGCAGGGAGGCAGGGAGTGTAGCATGGAGGGAGGAAGCATTGCAGGGAGGCAGGGAGTGTAGTAGGGAGGCAGGGAGTGTAACAGGCAGGCAGGGAGTGTAGCATGGAGGGAGTGTAGCAAGGGAGGCAGGAAAGGGGGTGTAAACAGGGTGACAGGAGGAGTGTAGCATGGAGGGATGGAGTGTAGCAGGGAGGCAAGGGGTGTAGCAGGCAGGCAGGGAGTGTAGCAGAGAAACAGGGAGTGTGGAAGGGAGGCAGGGAGTATAGAAGGGAAACAGGGAGTGTGGAAGGGAGGCAGGGAGTGTAGCAGGCATGCAGGGAGTGTAGCAGGCATGCAGGGAGTGTAGCAGGCATGCAGGGAGTGTAGCAGGCATGCAGGGAGTGTAGCAAGCAGGGAGGGAAGTAACCCCAGAGAGGGCTTTGATACCTGAAGTTCTTAGGGAGGGGATTCCACTTCCAAACAATAATCAGTCCTCTCTGCCTCCTCCTCCATGTCTTCCATAAGCCAACAAGAGTCTTCAATAAAGATATGTAATAGTGATTTAAATGTTCATTTATTTGTTTTTAGTTCTCATTGTTTTGTGTATGTAAAACTATAATTAATCTTTAAAAAACGTATTTTTTGTTAATATTTTTGGGTGTCTGAAATGGATTTTTTTTTTTAAACAAGTCGGCCGTCTCCCACCGAGGCAGGGTGACCCAAAAAGAAAGAAAATCCCCAAAAAGAAAATACTTTCATCATCATTCAACACTTTCATCTCACTCACACATAATCACTGTTTTTACAGAGGTGCTCAGAACACAACAGCTTAGAAGCATATACGTATAAAGATACACAACATATCCCACCAAACTGCCAATATCCCGAACCCCTCCTTTAGAGTGCAGGCATTGTACTTCCCATTTCCAGGACTCAAGTCCGGCTATATAAAAATAACCAGTTTCCCTGAATCCCTTCACTAAATATTACCCTGCTCACACTCCAACAGATCGTCAGGTCCCAAATACCATTCGTCTCCATTCACTCCTATCGAACAGGCTCACGCACGCCTGCTGGAAGTCCAAGCCCCTCGCCCAGAAAACCTCCCTTACCCCTTCCTTCCAACCTTTTTGAGGACAACCCCCACCCCGCCTTCCTTCCCCTACATATTTAAACGCTCTCCACGTCATTCTACTTTGATCCATTCTCTCTAAATGACCAAACCACCACAACAACCCCTCTTCTGCCCTCTGACTAATACTTTTATTAACTCCACACCTTCTCCTAATTTCCACACTTCAAATTTTCTGCATAATATTTACACTACACATTGCCCTTAGACAGGACATCTCCACTGCCTCCAACCGCCTCCTCGCTGCTGCATTCACAACCCAAGCTTCACACCCATATAAGAGTGTTGGTACTACTATACAGTGGACCCCCGCATACCGTCGCCATCACATAATGTACAATCCGCATACCGCTCGGTTTTATCGCAAAAATTTTGCCTCGCATACCACTCAAAAACCCGCTCACCGCTCTTTGTCCGAGACGCGTCCAATGTGCGCCCTTAGCCAGCCTCACATGTGCCGCCGGTGGCATTGTTTACCAGCCAGCCTCCGCGGTAACATCCAAGCATACAATCGGAACATTTCGTATTATTACAGTGTTTTTGGTGATTTTATCTGCAAAATAAGTGACCATGGGCCCCAAGAAAGCTTCTAGTGCCAACCCTACAGCAATAAGGGTGAGAATTACTATAGAGATGAAGAAAAAGATCATTGATAAGTATGAAAGTGGAGTGCGTGTCTCCGAGCTGGCCAGGTTGTATAATAAACCCCAATCAACCATCGCTACTATTGGTGGTACAGCTGCTGCTGCTGCTGTACCACCGTCAGCTGCTGCTGCTGCTGTAGCACCGTCAGCTGCTGCTGCTGTTGTACCACCGTCAGCTGCTGCTGCTGCTGCTGTAGTACCGTCTGCTGCTGCTGTAGTACCGTCTGCTGCTGCTGTAGCATCATCTGCTGCTGCTGTAGCACTGTCAGCTGCTGCTGCTGCTGTACCACCGTCAGCTGCTGCTGCTGTAGTACCGTCTGCTGCTGCTGTAGTACCGTCTGCTGCTGCTGTAGCATCGTCTGCTGCTGCTGTAGCACTGTCAGCTGCTGCTGCTGCTGTACCACCGTCAGCTGCTGCTGCTGTAGTACCGTCTGCTGCTGCTGTAGTACCGTCTGCTGCTGCTGTAGCATCGTCTGCTGCTGCTGTACCACCGTCAGCTGCTGCTGTAGTACCGTCTGCTGCTGCTGTAGCATCGTCTGCTGCTGCTGTAGCACTGTCAGCTGCTGCTGCTGTACCACCGTCAGCTGCTGCTGTAGTACCGTCTGCTGCTGCTGTAGCATCGTCTGCTGCTGCTGTAGCACTGTCAGCTGCTGCTGCTGCTGTACCACCGTCAGCTGCTGCTGTAGTACCGTCTGCTGCTGCTGTAGCATCGTCTGCTGCTGCTGTAGCACTGTCAGCTGCTGCTGCTGCTGTAGCACTGTCAGCTGCTGCTGCTGCTGCTGCTGTAGCACCGTTGTTGGTGTGGCTTATTGAGAATACCAAGAAACAATTAACCCCAGAGGATTTGCCACCCAGGATAACCCAAAAAAGTCAGTGTCATCGAAGACTGTCTAACTTATTTCCATTGGGGTCCTTAATCTTGTCTCCTAGGATGCAACCCACACCAGTCGACTAACACCCAGGTGAACAGGGAAAAATGCCTGGAACTAGTGCTCATATTGGTGAATTTAAAGCCAGCAAAGGTTGGTTTGAGAGATTTAAGAATTGTAGTGGCATACACAGTGTGATAAGGCCTGTTCTGGAAGAAAATGCCAAACAGGACCTACAGTACTCAGGAGGAAAAGGCACTCCCAGGACACAGTGTCTCATCAGTCATTGCTGCATCTTCAATAAAGGTAAGTATCATTTATTCTTCATTTAGTATAGGACATGCACAATATATATTGTGCATGTACTACTCTACTATTGTGCATGTATCCTTCTCTTTGTGTGTAGGAAAATGTATATTTCATGTGGTAAAATTTTTTTTTTTCATACTTTTGGGTGTCTTGCACGGATTAATTTGATTTCCATTATTTCTTATGAGGAAAATTCATTCGCATACCAATCATTTCGCATAACAATGAGCCCTCTTGCAGGGATTAAAGTCGCTATGCGGGGGTCCACTGTACTTTCATACATTCCCTTCTTTGCCTCCATAGATAACATTTTTTGTCTCCACATATACCTCAACGCACCACTCACCTTTTTTTCCCTGATCAATTCTATGATTAACCTCATCCTTCATAAATCCATTTGCTGACATGTCAACTCCCAAGTACAGCAGGGTCCCGCTTTACGGCGTTTCACTTTACGGCGTTCCGCTAATACGGTCATTTCAAATTATGACCAAAACTCGCTATACGGCTCCCCCCACCTGACTTTCTAATACGGTCACCACGCCCCACCCTGTTTGTTTACATTCTTCGTGAGCTCAGTAAGCACTAAGTCTCTCCATTTTGTCTGGAAACTCCAAAATTTCAAATGTTTTTAAGTTATTTCATATTTTATATATACAGTGGACCCCCGCATAACGATCACCTCCGAATGCGACCAATTATGTAAGTGTATTTATGTAAGTGCGTTTGTACGTGTATGTTTGGGGGTCTGAAATGGACTAATCTACTTCGCAATATTCCTTATGGGAACAAATTCGGTCAGTACTGGCACCTGAACATACTTCTGGAGTGAAAAAATATCGTTAACCGGGGGTCCACTGTACTCTGATAATTATACTTATGTATACCTGTACTTAAATAAACTTACATACTGTGCTGGCATGCAGGTACACATTAAAATCAGTAAGAGTGTCTTATGTCTCCAGACGTCATATTAGTAATGATAATAATAATCATCGAGTCTCATTTAAATGTCGTATATTACCTTAAATACACATTTTCATTAATCCATCTATGATATTTTTTCAAAATTATATAATAAACACGATACATAATATAAAAAGATGATAAATACACCCCACAATAGAATAAATAAACATAAATATGAGATGTGGTAGCAGACGACTTGCACAAGTGACGCCATATTAGAAATGATAATAATAATAATAATAATCACCGAGTCTCATTAAATGTTGTATATTACGTTAATATACACATTTTCATTAATCCATCCATGATATTTTTTTCAAAATTATATAATAAACACAATACATAACATAAAGATGATAAATACACCCTACAATAGAATAAATAAACATAAATATGAGATGTGGTAGCCAGATAACTTGTACAAGTGATGCCAAGAATAACATTTTCTCTAATCTAACATAAGAGAAAATGTGTTACTGGGAGTAACTGTAGAAAATTATTCCTTTCGTATGTATGTAAGTAAGTTTATTCAGGTATACACAAATACAGTTACATAGATTATCATACATAACAACATATGTGTAGAGAACCTAGGATAACCCAAAAAAGTCAGAGTGACTTATTTCCATTGCCTTCACTCAGAGCATCATTTCTTCTCAAAATGATGTTACATGAGAATGGGAGTGTTCTTCTTCATTTATTCTACCGTATCAATGTAGAGACAACCTGTACACAATGTAACTTGTACACAAACCAGACGTGTACACTTTGTTAACAAAACTTGCCTTCGCCTGGTTTGTTTACATAACTCTGCGCCTGTACTCTCTCATGCACTCATTCTTTCTCTCTCTCATTTATTTGTTTTATCTCATTTACTTACTCCTGACCCTACATTAAGACTACAAATATTTTAAGGTAAGTAATGAGTGAACTGTATATACATTTTATCGCTCTGGGATGCTTAAATGTAATAGAATATTATGTGTAGGTGGGTTGGCCTGGTATGGTAGCGCGGCTGACTACCATACATACAACACTTGATTTTTTACAATAAATACTACTCATCTCACCCTATATTTTAAGGTAAGTAATGAGTGAACTGTATATACATTTTATCGCTCTGGGATGCTTAAATATCATAGAATTGTAAGTGTGGGTGGGGTGGCCTGGTATGGTAGCCTGGCTGACTACCATACATACCACACTTGATTTCTTACAATAAATACTACTTGTCTCACCCTAGATTAAGACTATAAATATTTTAAGGTAAGTAATGAGTGCACTATGTGTGTATTGTACTTTTTTATTGTTTTTGATGTCTGGTTCTATTGCTAACTTAATATATGTTAGTGTAAACTTGTTATCTAGTGTTTGTATGCATTTATAAGTGGAAAAAAAGGGTGTTCCACTTTACGGCGGTAGCCTGGAACCTAACCAGCCGTATAAGTGGGGCCCTACTGTATCTAAAAACATTCACTTCTTCCATAGTTCTCCTCCCCAATTTGATATCCAATTTTTCTTTATCTAAATCATTTGATACCCTCATCACCTTACTCTTTTCTATGTTCACTTTCAACTTTACACACACACACAACTTATATTTACATTAATTCTTATGGGAAATACTATTGCTTTGAATTTAGGCCTTTTTGAATTTAGGCCAACCTTCTGGAATGGATTATGACTGATAGTCAGGGTTCCACTGTATTAAACCCTCATTTATTTTACATTCTCCATTAACATCAGGACTATTACCACTATAACTTGTTATTAATGACAACAAAACAAATGCTGCAATAATTATTAATAGTAGAGTCAACCTTCCCATTACCTATGCTCAACGAATGTGTGCAAAAAGTAATTTTGAATAACTATGGAAAAACTATTTGGAATAACTATGGAAAAACTCTGAAACTGCTTCACTTAACAACCTGGTCATACAATGACCTCATGCTAGGTGATGCTAGTAAATGGTCTCTATGACCTACTGCAAATTTAATTATTATTCATGGTGGATTAGTGCTTTTTCATCTTGCTACTTTTTAATATTTGGAATTATCAGACAATTGGCATTATCAAACATTGTCTTTCCCTCTTTACTGGTCTGTTATATCAAAGTTTTACTGTACTACTATCTTGGTCCACATATCAGGTTCTAATATAGGTGTATGTGGAAAAATGCTATTTGCTTAACCCTTAAACGGTCCAAACAAATCGATGTTCAAATTCGTATTGCTACAAAAGTAGATCTACTTTTTTTAACATATTTTCATATGTAACAAAAAAAAAATGTAGATAAAAGTTTTTTTTACACGTTTTCAAATGTAAAACAAAAAAGAAGATCTACATTTTTGTGGCATGCAAAGAGTACGTAACCTTTATTCGGCGCATGTACACACCCTCATTTACAGGCTATCTCCCCCAACCAGCGAACCAGGTTGCTACGAGTTGATGATGGGGCCCCGTCGTTCAACTAGTGATCAGGTTCTAGCCAATAAGAAGATGGTTTTGGCAATCGCAGAGGTTATGTGGGTACCACTCTCCTGTCTGCCCTTGTCATTTCCATTCTAGAGCTGGTTGAAGCACGGTCTGCTATCTTGTGGCTTCTATTTCTGCCTTGCTTACCATGGAGTGCACTATACTTATCACTGTACATAGTGTCCATATTGCTGTTCTAAATTGGTGAAGGATAATATAAGTCTAAACTTTTTCTGCTGTGTTTATTTTGCTCCCATTACACCCGGGATAACAGGCCATTTGGAATCCTGGGTTGTAATAATTTTTTTACATACTTTCAGATGTTGAAAAAACGTATATATACATTTGGACCATTTAAGGGTTAAACCTCTTGTCTGGTCCCTATCTAGATTAAGTGGAAGTTAACAGTACTCTTTAAAAGTACTGTATTTTAGCAAGATTCACAGGAAGAAAAATAAGGGCAATAAGCAAGATGGAAAATTGTAAATTATCAATTTCTGCCACAGTGTCAATATTTTAGTAGCTAAAACTCGAATATTGCTACAGTGACAAGTGAACTGTGTAAATACAAAAGAAAATCAATAATACAACTTTTGTCATTCATTTAGTTAGATTTAAGTGATTTTTAGATAGAAATTAGATACATTTAGAGTAAAGGGAACTTACGTAATTTCAACGAAATTACCATAAGGAAAAGCTGAACAAAATTTCACGGTGCCCTCTGAAAAGGTGAAAACTATACAACAATATAGATATAGAACAGATAGATATGATCTGTGTAACAGCTCTATCAAAAAACTTAAAAAGTCACTTATTTAAATGCTTGGAAACTTACAGGATACTAATGCAAACAAAATGAATTCACCCAGGTATTACCTGACTGTTGCTTCAAAAAGCTTAGCCTCTCGAATTCGTAGTGTGTCTCGCTCAAGCACCAAGCACAAGGTGTTGCTGTCAATATCTGTAAAGCCCTCTGCTGCTAATGAGTCGGCTGTATTTTTATCTATTGTCTCCAGACACAAAGCTGCCAGTTGAGGTTCATCAAAAAGTCGGGCCTGGAAAAAAACAGGTAAATAACATACAACTGTTTATATACATGTATCTCACAACCCATTATAATTTGCATCTTAAGCTAAAAGCAGAAATTATTCAAAAGAAAAATTTATAGCACTTTGGTGCTATAATGGGTGTTTATATAACCTTTTTGAAGTATGAAAACTTGGTTTTCGCTGTCACAGGGACCACAGGACAAGTGCTTTGGAACAATGGCATACCTACTCCTACCTATTACTTACCTTTAATATCCCTGAGCTTCTAATAGCTCTGATAAGCCCCTGATTTACTACTGCAACAATAACTGGCACCAGAGTGGGGTTGTGCACATGCTGCAACTAGTCACCCACAACAACACAGTTGGCATCTACAAACAAGAAAACTATAAAAGATTTTACCCAGGTCTTTCATGGTCAGAAAGCTAAGCTTTTCATACTTAAAATTGCAGTATTTGTCCTAGCCTGTTTTCTCATCCTTAGCTGGGCTTGAGACTGAGAAAGGTGTGAGAGGAAGAAGAGAAAAGGAAGAGGGGTGAAGATTTAGTAGAGAAAAAGATAGAAGAAAAATGAAGATGGAGATAGGAGAACATGCTCAAACATTCATATCAAGTGTGTAGGGACCCACATATAACCTGCCGGCAGACTACACATTGTACAGGGCTCGTATTCATAATCTGCTATGTGAGTTTAATTAATACACACCAAGAAAAAGGAAATAAAAAGGAGAGAAGAAAAACAAAAAAGGAGAGAAGGGAAAGTAAAAAGAAAAGGAAAGAGACAAATTAAATTGAAGAGAGGGGAAAGAGGAGGTGAGGGGCAAGCAAGAAGAAAAAGGGTCAAAACACTCCAAATGCATTCCACCATTCCTCAGGTTCCACACCTTCAGTACTGAATGCAAAATATGGTTCTCCAGAAAGCCACAGTATATATGCTTTCCAGTACAGTATTATACATCACAGTTATGTCTACTGTGTAAGGGAGAATGTTTCGCATATAGTACTGGACGTTTTTTTTTTCAGTTCGCAGCTGTTACAAACCTGATGACTGGTTCCCTAGCCCTGCTCTTCTGAATAAATACAATTTTCTAAATAAAGGGGGACTGGACAGTCTATTGAACTTCCTATGAAAGAACAATTTCAGTCCAATAATATTTGATAATTTTGGTGGACTGAATAATAATTAAATTTTTTTTCCTTGATATGCTGAATTCACCTGGGCTAGCACTGATAACAAAAATGTTGATACAGCATTCACAAGTAATTAACAAATTAACTGCAAAAGTAAAAACATTATTTTTTTTATTACTTTTTATTATCACACTGGCCGATTTCCCACCAAGGCAGGGTGGCCCGAAAAAGAAAAACTTTCACCATCATTCACTCCATCACTGTCTTGCCAGAAGGGTGCTTTACACTACAGTTTTTAAACTGCAACATTAACGCCCCTCCTTCAGAGTGCAGGCACTGTACTTCCCATCTCCAGGACTCAAGTCCGGCCTGCTGGTTTCCCTGAACCCCTTCATAAATGTTACTTTGCTCACACTCCAACAGCACGTCAAGTATTAAAAACCATTTGTCTCCATTCACTCCTATCAAACACGCTCACGCATGCCTGCTGGAAGTCCAAGCCCCTCGCACACAAAACCTCCTTTACCCCCTCCCTCCAACCTTTCCTAGGCCGACCCCTACCCCGCCTTCCTTCCACTACAGACTGATACACTCTTGAAGTTATTCTGTTTCACTCCATTCTCTCCACATGTCCGAACCACCTCAACAACCCTTCCTCAGCCCTCTGGACAACAGTTTTGGTAATCCCGCACCTCCTCCTAACTTCCAAACTATGAAATCTCTGCATTATATTCACACCACACATTGCTCTCAGACATGACATCTCCACTGCCTCCAGCCTTCTCCTCGCTGCAACATTCATCACCCATGCTTCACACCCATATAAGAGCGTTGGTAAAACTATACTCTCATACATTCCCCTCTTTGCCTCCAAGGACAAAGTTCTTTGTCTCCACAGACTCCTAAGTGCACCACTCACCCTTTTCCCCTCATCAATTCTATGATTCACCTCATCTTTCATAGACCCATCTGCTGACATGTCCACTCCCAAATATCTGAATACATTCACCTCCTCCATACTCTCTCCCTCCAATCTGATATCCAATCTTTCATTACCTAATCTTTTTGTTATCCTCATAACCTTACTCTTTCCTGTATTCACTTTCAATTTTCTTCTTTTGCACACCCAAAAACATACAATCATAAATAACAGCCCTTCACAGGAGGATTAATAATTGCATTCTTCATACTGTACACCTACCTGAGTCAGAAGCATGAATGCATTATCCGAGGATAAATTGCGCTTAAGAAAGTCCACACAGGCTTGCTCAAGAGCAGGAACAGCATATTTTTTGGCTGTGTACAATACTGTCATCACAGTTTCGGGACCAATCTGAACCTCATCACTGTGGAAGTCAGAAAAGGTTAAAATCTAACTTTCATATAAACTTTCTGAATTTAAAGAAAATATTCATCCAGCTGAAAGGTTATGAAACTAGCCAAATTTAGTTGATGTTAAAAAGGAAAAATAGCTTACCTGTATAGGAATCGCAAGAGAGCAAGAAATGCCTGTGGTTCCACATCTGGCAATTCAATTTCCTCTTGATGAGTACTAAGATGCCCATTGAACATAGCATCAAATACAGCACTGCCAACTGCCAAAACAAACTTATGTGCAGGTATGCGTTGTCTTGAATCACCTTTACCCACCAGGAAATGAACATCACTGAGTATCTCGTTGTTGAATAGGAATGCAAATCTGTAATAAGGAAGAGTATTAACATTTATTATTCTACAGTACATTACTGATGTTTTTTCTTGTCTCATAAACACTCAGAATAACAGATATATCTTGCTACTTCTACATATAGGTTACACTACACATGCATGTCCACAAGTGTGTACACCTACCATCCGACTTACGACCTGCTCGACATACGACGACTCGACTTATGACCGTGTTTTTTATGCCAAATTTCTGGGAAATAAACAAGTGTTTGTGTTGTACACAGTGTTTATCCTAAACCTTACAGTATAAAATACAGTACTAACAGCAGAAAAAGTAAAGTAAAACATAAAATACCAAAATAAAATAAAAGTCATTACAAAAATGTTATGTTGATATTCAGTAGTAAAGTTCGACTTACGTTCATTTCGACTTACGACCGGTTTCTCGGAACCAAACTCGGTCGTAAGTCAGATGGTAGGTGTATTTACATATCCATCTGGGTTTTCTTCTATTTTCTTAATAGTTCTTGTCCTTTATTTCCTCTTATCTCCATGGGAAGTGGATAAGAATTCTTCCTCCATAAGCCTGTGTGTCATAAGAGCGACTAAAATGCCAGAAGCAAGGGGCTAGCAAGCCCTTCTCCTGTATAAGTTACTAAGTTTAAAAGAGAAACTTTCATTTCTCTTTTTACATCACCCTGCTTTGATACTTCTAGAATCGTGCCATCTTTGAGGTGTTGGCCTAAATGAGAAGCTTCCACAAATATCTGAACTATCTTCTAATGCTAATAATAATGAATAATTTGAATGTGTCATATAGACTTATGGTTTTTGGCATTACATAAATGAAGGAGTGAATGGAGACAAATGGTTTTTAATACTTGACGTGCTGTTGGAGTGTGAGCAAAGTAACATTTATGAAGGGGTTCAGGGAAACCGGCAGGCCGGACTTGAGTCCTGGAGATGGGAAGTACAGTGCCTGCACTCTGAAGGAGGGGTGTTAATGTTGCAGTTTAAAAACTGTAGTGTAAAGCACCCTTCTGGCAAGACAGTGATGGAGTGAATGATGGTGAAAGTTTTTCTTTTTCGGGCCACCCTGCCTTGGTGGGAATCGGCCAGTGTGATAATAATAATAATAATAAATGAAGCATTTACCCAAGTCCTTTTCTTTAGGATGTAAATTACAGAATAAAAATGCTGCAGGAGTGTCAACTGTTTGTGAAAATGAAAAAAAAAAATTTGTCAGTGGCTGTAAAAATGGGAATATAAAATGGACATTCAACAGGCTTATGCATCACTGGAGTGAGTGAAGGTAATTGGTTTTATGGCTAAGTGCAAATGGGGAAGAGCAATGTAACATTTATGAAGGGATTCAGGGAAACAGGTTAGCTAGACTCAAGTCCTGGAGGTGATGTTACAGTTCAGAGGGTTATCTGAACTGTGATATCAGAATGATACCAGAAAGACAGTGATTGAATGAATGAATGAATGACAGTGATAATGTTTCTTCTTTGCTGGGTTATTCAATCTTAACCCTTTACTGAACAGGTATAGATTTTTCTTAAACTAAATGCATGTTGCAATGTGCATTCATCCCCCATCCAGCATCGTTGAGTTCCCATTTTCTATTTCTGACCAATCACAGGGCTTCTACGAGACTCAAGAAATCGTAATGACACGATTGCAAACAAACCATACCCCTGGCCGGGATTGAACCCGTGGTCATAGAGTCTCAGAACTCCAGCCCGTCGCGTTAGCCACTAGACCAGCTAGCCACAATAAGATTCATCCAACTAGGTATATTTCTACACCATAGGAAGGTTAGCACAGGCACCTCTGTGACCACAAATGCAAGTTTTTACAGACGAATCTCCAGCTAGCGTGGCCGTGACGAACTCTAGCTCAAGTTCCTTCACTGCCGTCAACATGACTCAAGAAATCGTAATGACATGATTGCAAACAAACCATACCCCTGGCCGGGATTGAGCCCGCGGTCATAGAGTCTCAAAACTCCAGCCCGTCGCGTTAGCCACTAGACCAGCTAGCCACAATAAGATTCATCCAACTAGGTATATTTCTACACCATAGGAAGGTTAGCACAGGCACCTCTGTGACCACAAATGCAAGTTTTTACAGACGAATCTCCAGCTAGCGTGGCCGTGACGAACTCTAGCTCAAGTTCCTTCACTGCCGTCAACATGACTCAAGAAATCGTAATGACATGATTGCAAACAAACCATACCCCCGGCCGGGATTGAACCCGCGGTCATAGAGTCTCAAAACTCCAGCCCGTCGCGTTAGCCACTAGACCAGCTAGCCAAATATACCTAGTTGGATGAATCTTATTGTGGCTAGCTGGTCTAGTGGCTAACGCGATGGGCTGGAGTTTTGAGACTTTATGACCGTGGGTTCAATCCCAGCCGGGTGTATGGTTTGTTTGCAATCGTGTCATTACGATTTCTTGAGTCATGTTGACGGCAGTGAAGGGACTTGAGCTAGAGTTCGTCACGGCCACGCTAGCTGGAGATTCGTCTGTAAAAACTTGCATTTGTGGTCACAGTGGTGCCTGTGCTAACCTTCCTATGGTGTAGAAATATACCTAGTTGGATGAATCTTATTGTGGCTAGCTGGTCTAGTGGCTAACGCGACGGGCTGGAGTTTTGAGACTCTATGACCGCGGGCTCAATCCCGGCCAGGGGTATGGTTTGTTTGCAATCGTGTCATTACAATTTCTTGAGTCATGTTGACGGCAGTGAAGGGACTTGAGCTAGAGTTCGTCACGGCCACGCTAGCTGGAGATTCGTCTGTAAAAACTTGCATTTGTGGTCACAGAGGTGCCTGTGCTAACCTTCCTATGGTGTAGAAATATACCTAGTTGGATGAATCTTATTGTGGCTAGCTGGTCTAGTGGCTAACGCGACGGGCTGGAGTTTTGAGACTCTATGACCGCGGGTTCAATCCCGGCCGGGGGTATGGTTTGGCTTCTACGAGTCTCTCCAACTAAGTGAGAGTGGTGCCCCTTGCTTCCCATTGGTTGGGAGACAAAAATATGGTGGTGGGTAAACCTGTTTTTTTGCTGAATTTATCCTCATATAGTATTCTCAAATTTCACCACTTCACAATGTCAGTAAGTTTTTTTTCTCTCAACAAACCAGCTATATCCTACCGAGGCTGGGTGAACTACATAAAAAGAAAAACGAAAGTTTCTCTCTTCTTAAATTTAGTAATGTATACAGGGGAAGGGGTTACTAGCTCCTTGCTGCCATCATTTTAGTCTCCTCTTACGACACACATGGTTTATGGAGGAAGAATTATGTTCCACTCTCCCATGGAGATAAGAGGAAATAAACAAGAACAAGAACTAGTAAGAAAATAGAAGAAAATCCAGAGGGGTACTTTTTTTTTTTTTTTTTTCAACAAGTCGGCCGTCTCCCACCAAGGCAGGGTGACCCAAAAAAGAAAGAAAATCCCCAAAAAGAAAATACTTTCATCAGCATATACGTAATAAAGATACACAACATATCCCTCCAAACTGCCAATATCCCAAACCACTCCTTTAAAGTGCAGGCATTGTACTTCCCATTTCCAGGACTCAAGTCCGACTATATGAAAATAACCGGTTTCCCTGAATCCCTTCACTAAATATTACCCTGCTCACACTCCAACAGATCGTCAGGTCCCAAGTATCATTCGTCTCCATTCACTCCTATCTAACACGCTCATGCACGCTTGCTGGAAGTCCAAACCCCTCGCCCACAAAACCTCCTTTACCCCCTCTTTCCAACCCTTTCGAGGACGACCCCTACCCTTCTTTCCTTCCCCTATAGATTTATATGCTTTCCATGTCATTCTACTTTGATCCATTTCTCTAAATGACCAAACCACCTCAACAACCCCTCTTCTGCCCTCTGACTAATGCTTTTATTAACTCCACACCTTCTCCTAATTTCCACACTCCAAATTTTCTGCATAATATTTACACCACACATTGCCCTTAGACAGGACATCTCCACTGCCTCCAACCGTCTCCTCGCTGCTGCATTTACCACCCAAGCTTCACATCCATATAAGAGTGTTGGTACTACTATACTTTCATACATTCCCTTCTTTGCCTCCATAGATAACGCTTTTTGACTCCACATATACCTCAATGCACCACTCACCTTTTTTCCCTCATCAATTCTATGATTAACCTCATCCTTCATAAATCCATCCGCCGACACGTCAACTCCCAAGTATCTGAAAACATTCACTTCTTCCATACTCCTCCTCCCCAATTTGATATCCAATTTTTCTTTATCTAAATCATTTGATACCCTCATCACCTTACTCTTTTCTATGTTCACTTTCAACTTTCTACCTTTACACACATTCTCAAACTCATCCACTAACCTTTGCAATTTTTCTTTAGAATCTCCCATAAGCACAGTATCATCAGCAAAAAGTAACTGTGTCAATTCCCATTTTGAATTTGATTCCCCATAATTTAATCCTACCCCTCTCCCGAACACCCTAGCATTTACTTCTTTTACAACCCCATCTATAAATATATTAAACAACCATGGTGACATTACACATCCCTGTCTAAGACCTACTTTTACCGGAAGTATTCTCCCTCTCTTCTACACACCCTAACCTGAGCCTCACTATCCTCATAAAAGCTCTTTACAGCATTTAGTAACTTACCACCTATTCCATAAACTTGCAACATCTGCCACATTGCTCCTCTATCCACTCTATCATATGCCTTTTCTAAATCCATAAATGCAATAAAACTTCCCTACCTTTATCTAAATACTGTTCACATATATGCTTCAATGTAAACACTTGATCTACACATCCCCTACCCACTCTGAAGCCTCCTTGCTCATCCACAATTCTACATTCTGTCTTACCTCTAATTCTTTCAATTATAACCCTACCGTATACTTTTCCTGGTATACTCAGTAAACTTATTCCCCTATAATTTTTACAATCTCTTTTGTCCCCTTTCCCTTTATATAAAGGGAATATACATGCTCTCTGCCAATC